ATCAATAATCATAGAAGATAATTAGTAATATTTAATCGAAATCTAATAAATAAATAAAAGAGTTTTCATTAATATATCTGGGATCTAAAGATGGATTATCTGCGTAAGCTTTTTGGAATTAAGTAAATGGAAAATCAAATTTATTAATGATTTTCAAATCTAAAAGTGGTTATATTTTTGGTGGATTCTCTCCTTTATATTGGCAATCAAATTTAGGTAAAAATTATGTTTAGGATAATACATTGTCATCATTTTTATTTTCATAAACTCATGATTAAATATATCCTTTAAAAGAAGCAAATAAATAATATGCTATCTATTGTTATTAATTATATGGACCTACTTTTGGTAATGGACATGATCTAAATATTGATGCTTCTTTTCAAGGAGGATATTCTTCTGGTTTGGGATCTTCATATTAATGTGATTAATATTAAATATCTAATAAAAAGACTCATTTATTTGGTTAAGAAACTCCAAATATAGAAGAATGTGAGATTTATTAAGTAATATTCAATTGAAAATTAAATTATAAACTATTTATTTTAAATATCAAATTTATGATTCATATTTATTTTTATTCTTAAATATAATTTAAATATCAGTTTAACATTTCGATATCCACAAACCTTTCTATTAATCCTTATTTTAATTTCATATTTTATTAGTATTTCAAATATTAAAATTAAAAAATAGCTTCATCTTTAATCTAAGTTAACCCTACGTTTATATTAGTTAGATTTTTTTTTAATTTATATTGTTTATAATCATGCATTTACGATACCTAAAATGAATGATAAAGTTAACAAAAAGTTATATTATGGATTGGATTCTATTTTTAATTAATATTGCTAAACTAAGTATTAACTAAAATTAAATATTTAAGCGATCACACTATAAATGAAGAGAAATGCATAAAGTAATTATTACAATATAAAATGAATAAATTTTTAATATTTTTATATAATATTTCATTCTTCTTTCTCATACTTCGTTATATATTCTAATTTAAATCTAATTTGATTTTTTATCCCATGTAATTAAATACTCTCCATCGTCACTCATTACTCCATATAAGCTATTTGTTCCAAAATGAATAGATTATTCAGTAACAAACTCTCCATTTTATTTTTTCCTTATTAAGTTGACATATTCACCACTCTTACTCATAAGCATGCATTTTTAATTTATATACTATTAAAAAAATAATCCATTACTATCTGATCCACATTTAATATTGATATCTTTAATTTTGTTATACTTATTATTTATACTGTTCATCTCAAAAATAGACATCTATTCTTTACCATATGGTTAGAAGGTGAACATATTATTATCAATAAAACATATTCTATATCCATATTATTCAACTGTAATATTTTATATAACAATCCATTCTTTATTCTATTGTGATTGTTCTAATATTAATATCTATTTATCATAACTACAAGATATAACTCTATTTTATTATTAATTTAAACTTAATCCATACACACAACTAGAAGGATCTGTAATTGTTTATTAACACAACCATTCATTCTACTTCATCCAAAATTTAATAGTCTTATCAGAACTACCTGATATAATGATATCTTCATTATTATTTAATATCACACAATAGATATTATGATTATGTCCATTTAATCTCTATTAGGAAATCCATTAATTATTTTAATTAAATTACCATATAATAATAGATTTGTCACAACTCCCTGATATAAACTAATTCTACTTCTTCATGAAGTTTAAAGTAAATACACTATTATTATGTTCAGTTAATGTTTAAATTTGTTTGAGCATTCCTTGTTTAAATTCAAATACTTTAATTTATGAGTTACATCCAGCCACCAATGTTGAACAATCTTTATTAATAGCTATTGCACCACACCAATCACTTTATACTGAATATTGTTGCATATGTTAATAAGTGAATGGGTTTATACTTTATTTTAAGATGCCTAACAGTTTATTTTATTTTTAAATCGGTAGTTTCATGAATTAAGGCTACTGAACTTATAAAATAATTTTTTGATTATAATCTATTTAACTCTTGGTTTTTTTTAATATATCATCTATGATTTATTTAACCTTTTGGATTGATTATTTGAGTGGATTAAATAATTATTATTCAAAAACTTCAAATTAGCATAGACCCTTAATTCTATTATCTATCTAAAGGATTCCAAATTATTCTATATTAATGTTTAAATAAGGAATAAAAATATTTATAAGACTATCAAGGATTTATTTGCATTCTAAAGCATTCTTTTATAAATCGTTAATACTGACCATTCGTCGTTAAATCCAATCATTTAAGTTTTCCAAAGGTATTAACTTATTAATATGTTAAACATGATTCGGTAAACAATGATGACAATAAGGCCTTTGATATTGGCAGTAGCTTTCAATACAAATTCCTATTATTGACTGATTTTGATGATCAGCCTAAGTACATCTTATCTACATTTTCTTATTCTATTAAAATTAATATTTAAATATGAAAAAATTATTTTTGATTATAAACTTCAAAAAATTAATTAATAGAACTAGATAAGATTTATTGATGAATAATATCTTTTATTGGATATAATTAAAATATTGAAGAAGATTAGGAAACAATTGAAATAATTAGTTTTTAGCAGAAATTAAAAAAATGGATAGAAATTATTAATTTAAGAAAAATAAGCAACATAATCTACGATATTATTTTATCTATTTTCTTTTATCATGAAAAATTGGTTGACAATTTTTACATTACATAATATCTTAATTAAGAGTTAAATGAAAACTAAATGTTTTTTTCATAAATATTACTCCTTCAAACTCTTATTAAAATAATTTATCTTCACATTTGAGATTTAGGTTTATAATAATATCTATATAAATTGTTATTCTTAATTTTCATGAAATAGACAAATTTATGGTAAATTCTGTCAACAATTTAATTCATTGTATTTGATACGAGGCCGAATTAATTTATAGAAATATATTTATTATTAAAAAAATAAATGGAATTAGCTAATGATGAAAATTGCGAAACTATCTTCTAATAGATATCTTAATTTATAATCAACAGCATACTTTTTGAGATAATTAAAGGAAACCCTGAAAATAATGAATTTGTAACTAGATTAAAAAATTAATAAACATATTTGCACAATGGTTTTAATAATGATCTTATTAAAAATTTTTTTTGCTTTAAATTAATTCAATTATAATAACTCCCAGTTTTCAATTAAGATTAGTTTGTAAATTTTAACACTATTGTAATGCTACTTGCATAAAGGCAATCATTAGGTTAACTAGAGTTTACGATTATAATTTATTATTTAAATCTAAAAAAATTAGAATGGATATTTTTTCAAAGTTTAAAAATAGATTATAATTTTCTACAAAAGGACTTAATAAGTGTGAGCAAAATTTCTAGTTATC